GGGGCCGGGCGCCGGGGCGGGGCCGGCTGACGTCACGCTGGGTGGGGCTAAGCTGCTGGCGGCAGCCTCGCGCTGTTTCTTGCCTGCTGTAGGATCCAGTGCTCACCGCTACCCCCGCACATAGCCAGGGCCCGCGCAACCTGCGCCAGGGCCAGCACCCACACAGACAGTGCCGGCACCAACAGCCTCCTACAGAGCCAATGCTAGCACCCCCGCAAAGCCAGCGCCTGCATGCACACACACAGCAAGTGCCCGCACCCACGCGCACAGTCAGCACCTGCACCCACGCAGAGCCAGCACCTGCTTGCAGAGCTGCCACCAGCACCCATGTGCAGCCAGCGCCCACGTGCACAGCCAGCCCTAGCACCACCCCATACAGCCAGCCCCCCGCAAGCGTGTGAAATGTGAACAAATGTAGCCCCTTTTAAGGATCCTGGTTTTCTCTGATTTTAAAAAATCCTCAATTTTTGGTTGAAAAAAGTAACCCCACATCAACATTTTTCCATAATTAAATTGAAACACCACTATATATCTAGATATATCTATATATATTCGTGGTGTTTCATTTACATCATGGAAAAATGTGGACATGGGGTTACTTTTTTAAAACAAAAAATCGGGAATTTTTTTAAATTGGAGAAAACAAGAATCCCTGCTTATTGTCAGAAACCCATGAGGCCTGATGCATCATGCCTCCCAGGTGCTGGGACAACCTAGCACAGGGGTGGGCAATTATTTTGGGCAGAGGGCCACTTACTGAGTTTGGCAAGCCATCGAGGGCCGCATGACAGGCAACCAGGGGCAGATAAATATTAGTTTTCTAACTGATATAATAGCCTGGTGGGCCGCATCCGGCCCCCAGGCTGCATTTTGCCCACCTAGCACCAGCCTCAGCAGCCAGCTGGAGCCTAGCAGGTTTTGGCTCAAAACTGCACAATGGGAAACAAATGTGGCCACTTCTGTTTTACTGGGATACTTCTACATCCCACTGATTGTCCCAGGACACGTCTACAAGAGACATTTACTGTGGAGTTACCTAATTAGCTCCACAATAAATGTCTATACATGCAGTGTTATTTAGTAGGATGGAGTAAACTAATTAACTCTGCTATAGGTTAATACTTGTAAACACAAGTGCTATTTTACCAGGAATTATTTACTTAGCAGCAATGCAGGTGTAGAGGTTGACAGGGCTGGCTGGGGCACGAGGGTGCTTCAGTGTGGGGGTTGCCTGCCAGCTAGTCTGCGCTGAAGCACCTTTCTGCCCCAGCCAGCCCCTCCACAGCACATTGAGCTGGGTGGGAGCAGCCCTGGTCAGGCAGGCTGGCCCCCAATGGGGTTAGCTCAGGTCCTGGGCACCTGGGAGCAATAAACTCCAGCATGATATGTGCTGGAGTTTACTGCTGCGCATTAATTGCATGTGTAGATGTGCCCCCAGTGAAATATTTATTAATTTAGAGCAGTGGTTTGAGAACCTTTTAAGGTTGAGAACCACTGCTCTAAGTTAACAACTATTTTGCATACCTGGGCCTGTCATCTTTGCAGGACATGTTTCTTTACAAAATATCAAGTTGGTTGCTGTTTTTTCATTTTATGCAAGGCAGGTGAAAGCTACCAGGAGCTGGCATGATGCCAGTACAACTTTTCAAGGGACATAGTACCCTTGTTTGAGGGTAGATGTGTTTCAGCCAGGATTCCAAGCATACGTGTTCATAATTAGTACAGAGTCAGCAGAAGTTTAATAAAGAACTTACTGGGTCCTTCCCATTGTTCTGTAAGGGGAGGGGCATCCAGGTTTCTCTGATGCTGTGGCAATTTTCAAAATAGGGCAGACAGGATGACTTGGGTCATTATAGACTGGTTAGTCTGACATCAATCCCAGGCAAAATTCAAAAAGGTAAAATGGATTCAGGGAACAAGGAATTAAAGGGTATTTTTACGCAAGATATCAGTAGGTCTTGCCAGACAAACCTGATTTCATTTTTGATGATTCAATAGGTTTGATTGATAACAGTACAGGTAAAACTTTATAGACTTACTAAGTCACTTGATCTAATACAGCATGACACTTAAAAAACCTAGCAATGTACATTAAACAAACATATGTGAACTGGATTAAGACTTGGCTAACTAGCGGATCTCAAAAAGTAGTCCGCACAGAATCATTAAATGGGAATGTTTCTAGTGGCGTACTATAGGAATTGTTTCTAAGCACATAGGCAATTGATCTTTTTATCAGTGGTCTAGAAGCAAATATAAAATCACTGCTGATAAGAATTAGGCCACGGCACAACCACTGGTAGAGTGCTAAATAATAGGGCTGTGCAAAATTTCACCGGGTGTTTCGTTTCAAAGCCGTTTCGATGCATTTTGAGCTCAAAACAGCAAAATCAAAATGAAACAAAAGCCTTCGAAACAGCTTTGAAATGAAACAAGGCACTTGAAATGTTTCAAAAGTTTTGAAATGATTTGAGTTTTGAAGCTAGACTTATGGGCCCGCACCCCTGGGAGGAATCCGGCACAGCCCCCCGCAGCCTTCCCAGGATTGCGGGTGGGCCCCCAATCTGCCTGCTAGATGACAGGAGGCTGCTGCTGCCAACTGGGGCTAGCAGCACCACCAATCTTTTCGGTGCTGGGTGCAGGCTGTGCCCAGCACCGGGGTCCCAGCCAGCAGCAGCAGCCTCCTGTCATCCGGCAGATAGATTGGGGCCTGCACCCGTGGGAGGAGTCTGGCACAGCCCCGCAGCTCTCCTGGGGATGTGGGCCCCTGGATCTGTGGGCCGGATGACAGGAGGCTGTCGCAGCCAGCAAGTGACAGGCGTTTTGATTGTCAACACCTTGAGGTGCAGTTTCCCAGAAACCTCTGCACCTATCTCCTTGAAACTTGGCAGGCTTCATTCCCTCAGAAGGAGCTACCATCCCTGTAAGCTTCATCTGTATCAGGAAAAAAATGACAAAGTTATAGGCAGTTTCATTCCCCCATTATTGCCTATGGGCAAGGCATCAAAATGGTGTTGAAATGGCGAAACAGTTTCAACGAAACAAAATGGAACAGTGCTTTTGAAACAAAACTTAAAATGAAACATTGTTCCGTTGAAACGGAAGTTGAAGCAGAATGGTGCTGTTTTGCACAACCCTAAATAACACAGAGGACAGAACAATGATCTGGATTTCTCGGCTAGACCCATTAAAATATGTTTGAATACAATCAAATTCAAAGTAATCTATATCTAAGAACAAAGAATGTAAGCCCTACTGACAGAATGGGTGGTTTTGTAGTGAACAGTGACTGCAAAGGTTTTAAAGGTCACAGTAGACAAATACAAACTACAACTGAAATATTATGCCAAAATAACTATTATGACATATATAAACATGGGAACAATAAGCAGAACTAGGGATATGATTTACCTCTGAATACTGATCAGTAAGACTGTTTAGTAGGGAGTACCCTGACAACTCATATAGAGGTGACGAGGCCCCCAGAAGCACCCCTATTAGTCCTCGAGCATGGAACGTTGGGGCAGCTGCTCTCCCCAGGAGAGGAGACTTACCGGGGAAGATGCTGGTGATGCAGTCTGGAGAGTTCCCGGCACCACAGCTGCCTCACTTTACCAGCTCATGCCGGATCTGGGTTGGCCAACACACAGTGGCTGATGTCATAAAGATGCGCCCCATGCTGGCTGAAGATGGAACAGAGGCCCAGGAGCACAGCTGTTGGCCTGGACTAAGGAGTGCCGTTGACCTGGACAAGGAGTGCCCTGGCAGGGGTGAAGGGAGCAAAGTGGAGCCTGCTTGCCTGATTGGAGGCTTGGAGGAGCCTCAGGACAAAGGGACCAGGACCAAAACAAGGAGGAAAAGATGGCATGATGCAGAGGTGCTGAGAGACACTGTTTGCTTTGCTGGAGCAGCACAAGCAATGAACTGTGAGTCCATTCCAGGAAGGGGTCCAGGGCCCCGTAATTGCATTGAGGGTTAGTGACACCACATGAAAGAAATGTAAGGGCCTGACAGATTGGCCCTGCTGGGTATAGTCAAAATAGCCCAGTGATTAATGGGCTAACAGACATTTAATGAGGAACCTAGACACAGGCAGTTTGACACGCCAGATCCCTAGACTGCCACGAAAGGGCAGAAGAAGACTTTCACTAACCTATTGAAACTGGTTACCGGGCTGGAGCCCGACTAATCGACCAATCATGGGGACTACACCATTCTGTAATCCAATGGCGCACAACCTGGCTAGACCATAAGATCTGGTTGGTGTAAGAACTGGGTGTAAGGGGAGGCGGAGCCCCAAGGAACAACAGGGCATTTGTGAGGGCAGGTGTAAACCATTGAGGACCTTCCCCTCTTACTAAAAAGATCAAGACGTGGTGGGCAAGACGGAGGGCATGCCCTGCTGACACGAGTCAGCAAGGCCAAGCTGTCAGGCCCCAAGAACTGGTGCTCAACAGATCACAGCATTAGACCTCAATGGCAGTCGAGTGAGGCATGGCTGCCTATAAAGTGGTGAAACGCGCGTAAGTGCACAGAAAATGGTGGTGGTGCCTTTTGAATGTGCTGCCACCATTTTCTCAGTGCTGACATGCATTTTGCCACTTATACAACTGCAAGTGCCTACAGCACAAGCATGTGTACAAGTGCCCTATGGCATCTGTGAGGCATGGATGTGGGTATTGGGGAGCATGGAGTCCATGTAATTAACCCTTAAGGTGTAGAGTGGAAACACTTGAGCTCAAAAGTCTGAGATCGGGCTTGGGAAGCTCTGGGGGAGCCTCCCTTTTTCTAAAAGGTAAATATATCAAGGTGTGGCATGAAAATGAAAAGGAAGATTGCCCAAAAGAACCAAGCTGACAATGGCTGAGGGGGTATCATGACCACCTCTGGAGTGGGACCTTGTTACAGGTTCTTCTTTGGTTTCTGAATGTACAAAGGATATGAAAACTTGGAGAAGGTGCAAA